TTTGTACAGCTGAACCCCGTAGCCTGTCCTCGACTTTGCAGAACTTCTTCGGACATCAGGAGAAAAGTGATAAAAAGAAACACTTGCTGATGTTCAGCAACTCTGTGTAGGATGTTTTCAATCTTGGAGCCTTTTGGGGTCTTGGTCACTAAACTGCTTAAAGTGTTTCTTAGATAAATGATGGGGTCAGTAAGGAGCTAAGTGCTTCCTAGGTGGCCCTTTGTGCCCTGTGCTGAGGAGGCCAAGGGAACGGCTCTCAGCTTTTGCTCATCTGTCTTGGCCACTGGCATGTGAGCCCCAGGAAGACAGGGATCTGTGCTCACTGCTGAACCCCCTGCACCTAGAGCAGGGCCTGCCATGGAGAAGGTGCCCCTGTTAACTGGATACGTGATTGCTCTGCTGGCATTCAACTACATTCCTCTCAAAGAGGGAGGCTGCTTTAAGTAGGTGTCGTCTTGGTGGGCCAGGGGGCTGGAGCATTTGGGGTCAAAAGCTCCTAGCCTACACTGCAGGGTGCTTTCTGGGCCTTTTCCTAAATGGAGACTTGAGGGGGAGTAGGCTTGGAGCTGATGGGCAGTGGCCACTAATTGGCCAGCAGCTGAAACCCCTTAAGCTATTGACCTACTCCCTGCAAGCGCTTTCCATCCTGCCCATCTCACCCCCACCACCACCACACCAGCCTAACAGGGCTCACTCAGCCTCTCTCTCTCACCACACGCTCACAGTGTCCAGTTCTGCAGATACTCTGTCTTTTTAATTTTTTTGTTTCCCATGCCATCACTGACCTGGTTAGGGCCCTACAGACAGCAACTAAATGAGAGCAGTAACCACCTCCCATCCCTGCCTCTGACCAAGTCTGCATCCCCAGTGCCTGGAACACCATCTTCATAACTCAGGGGAACTGCACTCCTCACCCCCCCACCTCTATCCCCCACCTCCCAGCCCCATTCCTAGAGGCTGAGCATCATAGCAGGACCTGCTAAGGACCTCTCTGACCTTCTGTTTACCCTTGACCTCCCCATGGATGAGTCTTCCCAGCTGCCCTGTGGTGCCTCACAGAACACCTACTCAAATATTTGAACTAATGAATGTCGGTGACTCCTTCCGCTCCATCCTTTATTCCATTTTGGGACCCTTCTCAGAGACTCCTGACCTTACCCTATGGAAGGCCATACCTCTCTTCTCCAGTACTTCTTGACAGTTCTGCCTTATTTTCTAGTGCTTTCAAATTTTATCTTCCATTGGATGAGCACAGAAAGTTCCATATCTTTCTCCATGCTAGCTCCCTATAAATACCTCTTGAGAAGATATTTTCCACGAATCGTCAACTGTCCACCCCCTCGTGTCGCCATAAGCTTCTCTGACCACGCTTGGCCCTTAGGCGGGTGGCAGCCCTGCACCTCCCCTGGCTGGCTACCCCTTACCCCAAAACACATTCTGTTTGTTTATCTCTGACCTGTGCTTATGACAGTGAAGGGGGGAGGGCACTA